TCTGAGAGTTGAAGTCCACCCATCTTCAAGCAGCCAAGGTTGAGAAACACTGCTCTAGGGAAAACTTAAGCAATCAGTCCCACTGGGGAAAGATTTGTTTAGCCGCTATTACAAGATGCCGATTGAACCTCACTGCCCAGGCCAACAAGCACGGCAGAGCTGCGGTCTTTATCCCAGGCTTTCGAGCTTCATAGAAGCAAAATACTGGAAGGGCCTTGTTTCTGAACTAGAAGGCACCTTCTTCCACCCTCTCTACTTCACCCAAAGGCCAGCTTTCCTGCCACAAACCACACATCCAGTGAGGGTTTCCCTTCAGACTCTTCAACTTACAATTAAGACTTCGTTGTGGCTTGTTTGGTACTCAGCGATAAGCCGGTCCTGGTAAGCTAGCAGGCCATCCTGCTTGGCCGTCTTCTTTTTTTTCTCGGCAATTTTCGCCCTCTGGATCCACTCTTCTAATTCCTTGACCGAATGCGCCATTGCACAGTCCTGCCCGTATTCGCAAATCTCTGGTCTGCAGGGCAGAGAAGGAAATACAAAAGACCCACCCCGTGTAAAAGTGCAAATGGTGCATGGCATTAAGAGCTATCCAGGTCCTGATGCTCTGCAGTGATGCAGAAAGGAATATACAGAGTGGCGTTCCTCAACCTTGGCGACTTGACGATGGGTGGACTTCAACTCCCAGAATTCCCCAGCCAGCCAATTACAGGATTTCAGCTTCTGTAATTTCCAGCCAGGCACCAGGTTGGGGAACGCCATAGGAGACATGTTTGATTAAAAGAGCATCTTCCTGCTATAATTCAATGGGAACATGTGGCAGCTGGGTTTAGGATGTTGTCTTTCCTCTAGATCAGTGTTTCTCAACCTTGGCAGCTTGAAGATGGGTGGACTTTTCTCAACCTTGGCAGCTTGAAGATGGGTGGACTTTTCTCAACCTTGGCAGCTTGAAGATGGGTGGACTTTTCTCAACCTTGGCAGCTTGAAGATGGGTGGACTTTTCTCAACCTTGGCAGCTTGAAGATGGGTGGACTTCAACTCCCAGAATTCCCCAGCCAGCAGGGCTGGCTGGGGAAATCTGGGAGTTGAAGTCCACCCATCTTCAAGTCGCCAAGATTGAGGAACACTGCTCTCTACAGTGCATTAAGAGTTATCCAGGCCATGGTGCAGAAGGGTGTTGCAGGAAGAGATACATCAAGTCTATCAGAATGGTACATACAAGGAAGGAAGTTGGTACATACTATTCTGATAGATTCCGGTCATTCTTCTAAATGGAATAAAGTTAACCACCAGTGCAGACTTCAGCTTGCCCATTAGACAAACCCAAAAGGGCCTCCAAAGTCTATCCCCAGTTCTGGGCCCAACCGCTGAGTCCCCAGCACCAAAGCTCCCCTCCTCGGTCTCGCTTACCGGCTGCAAAGGGCAAAGGTCTTTGGATCGTACGGAGGGGCGCGGTGACTCCACTCGATCATCGTGTCGGTGGCGATCAGCTGCGTGTGCTCCACCGATGAGCAGTGGTTCTCAAAACTCTCCTGAGAATCACAGGTCACCAGACACACTCGGCAGTAGAAGGAGAATTTGGACGGGGAGTCCGGCGGGCTCGGCTTTTGCTCCACCGCCCGGCGCAGAAGGTCAGAGCGCAACAGGCCGCATCTCTGCTCTGCTTTCCAGACTGCCAGCTCCACGTCGCTGTGGGCAAAGATGCAAGGCGGAGAGGTGTGCCTGCAGGGTTGGGCAGCAGAGACGAAGGTGCAGTAAGAGAACGTCCTGAGGCCTGCCGGGCAGGGGCGAATCTCCGTATATTGCTCTTTTTTCTTGCCGTCGACGATCACGTGGACCAGAAGCAATCCCCAGTGCATCTTGCAGCTCTGAGCAGAGCCCTTGGGGGAAATCCGTTGGGGGCTGCAATAAAAGCAGGCTTTGCAGATCTCCTGGAAATAGCCCCCAAACTCACTGCAGATTTCCTCCGAGATGCTAAGATCAGGAGGTTTGGGCTGGGGGTTGGCCCTGTTGCCTAACTGGATCTGTTGCAACAGCCACTTCAAAAGATGTCTGTTGAGGTTGTGCTTCCTCTCAAAGGTCCACACGATCACCTCCTCTTGACTCCACGCGAAGGTGCACTGGTTGTGGTGTTTGAGGCAACCTAAGCCAGCAACGTAATACCGGCAGATGTCATAAAAGGTCGGATTTGGGAAGCTCGGTCGCCGGTCCACCTTGTGCCACAGACTCCCTTTCTTCCCCTTGCACCTGGCGAGCAAGATCTCCATCATGCACTGGTGCTCCACCCCCTTCAGCGAGTAGGTGCTCTCGTTTTCCTGCTGGCTGCACTTGGAGCAGGCCAGGTAGAGGGTCACCTGTTTCTGCAGGTCGTCCAGCGGCACAGAAACCATCCCGTTCAAGTGGGGCATCTTCTCAGCCGAGGACGCCAACGCCGGCGGGCCGATGGCGGGGCAGCTGCAGACGTTCAGCAAGACGGCTTTGGAGTCCTCCGGGCTGCAGAATTAAGAACAAGGAGAGAGCTTCTGCTGTCACACTGACCACACTGAAATCAGACAAGAGGGGGCAAAGTTCAGATTAGCCTAGCTACTCCTCAGAACGGTGTTTCTCAACCTTGGGGGCTTGAAGAGGGGTGGACTTCAACTCCCAGAATTCCCCCCCCCCCCACCGCCACTTTGCTGGTATCGCGGGGGATTTACATCCCCCCCCTCCTTTCCCCCGCGGTGAAAGAACCACCTCCAGGCGAATTCACCCC